TAAAACCAACAACAATAGAAGGATTGTTACTGATATAATTTGAGCGTAGATTAGTTTGCATTGACCTTTTGTTTAGTACCTGGGATCATCTAACCAATGACGAGACGATTATGAGATGACAACAGAGGGTAATACATACCGACTACCACCATAGAATATAATTGCCCATGCTCGCTTCCTCTCTCAACGGCCAAAATAGAACAGAGCACAAGTAAATTACTTCTAACCATACAGTTCACATTATAGTTTAATGTGTACAGTAATACAGAGTATAATCTTACAGTATATCAACATAAATTAGAAATCACAAATATGGACACAACTACGCCACAAGTCGAAAAGCACTAGGTGAGATGTCCGTAACAAAGTAACAGTAATTTCAGACACTTATAACGCATCACGGCAGTTTATGTATCAAATGAACGTTTGCAAATAGGAGAATACGAAATTACTATAGTCTATGTATTTAATATTTGTATAACAAAAATATAAATAACAAGTTCCGAAATTTCATTTTTGATTAATATTCATCCCACTAAAGGTACTCTTTACTTTCACAAGTAATGTTTCCTGCCATGAAATACATTTTACACAACAAAACAAAACTCATTTCTCTGTTATGTAGAAGGAAACGCTACATATTCCATATATCGAATGAATAATAGCTTCAAAACAATTATTTCTTTGTTTCAGTCGTGTCATTAGAGTCTTGTTAGTGAGTGTTGATAGTGAATTCTAATTCGTTTCCCACCGACATTTCTTAGCCAGGCTAGTCAATTACCACATGAATGATAAAATAACTTTTACTAGTTTGAGAAATTTTATCCAGCTTAGTATTAACGATTGGATATTACCAGACTTCTTAAAGCTTTTTTGTTGGAAGTTTGAAAATAATGCGCAGCAAACAAGTTATGAGGTTTCCGCTAGTTAACACTTTCAACATATTTCTGTAATCTTAAATAATACTAATCTTTCTTTCAACTAAACTCACCTCACTTAGTACCATTGTCAGACAAATACATCATTAGTAAGCTACTTAGACAACAAACGATTCATTAAAACTGAAAGAAATGCACAAATTAATCAAGCGTTAATAAAGGTGACACAGAGCGTTAAGCCTTGAGAGCCTCAATTAAATGAAATTAGGAAGATCGGCGATTATACGTGTAAGGAGTTTGTGGAGATTACTTAATCTTAATCTTAAAGCTTGCATGGTGAACCGGTATTATTTTACCGACCCTCGAAAAACAGAAAGCACTGGACATTTTTGTCATTTCGATATGAGACGACTCAGACAAAGTCATACTCTGTTTCAATGCAAAAACTTTGTGTATTGCGCTTATTGCTTGACCTTTGTGCCAACGAGCCTGTATTCGAAATAACCTCAACTAATTCGTGATAGTACACAACTATCTGCCAAAGCCATACAGAGGTTTTACTCTTTTACCTACCTAGTATCAGAAGACAAGTAGAAGTGATACTAGGCATTTATTTACAAACACGAATCGAATAACAAACAGACCACTACTGGATTCTAATCTTGTGAATATAACCTTATCAATGTTAGTCAATAAATCAACAGCAACGTAGAACTTCGTATTTAAGTACATCAGACCAGGTTGTCATACAACATTAGCACAGAGATGTGATTGTCAATTCAAATTCCATGGTAGTACAGGTAGTAGGGGTATTAGTAGTAATCGGAGAGATTAGGATTTGAAGATATTATTCAAGAAATAGAATCCAGTGAAATACACTTGAAAAGATAAATTGATGAGGAATTCAGACCGTTAGAATTTGAGAGAACACAGAGAATGAATGCACCTGCGTCATTGCAAACGGTTTTCAGCCATGTCATTCAGGGTCTCTAACCATCGATTACAATAATCTCGCGGACCTCAACCAGGTAGTCTACATCTACCAACATGACTCACTCCACTTGTCACTGACTTGATGGATTTCCGCCATGTTTCGGTCTGACCGTCCCAAACTTTCTTCCAACCTACTCCTACACCACGAAACAAAGCTCGACGAGGCAGTCAGTGGTTTGGCATACGCAACACATGTCCCAACCACCTCAACTGATGAAGTTTCAATACTTCCCCTATTGACCTGCCATCCTTATCCGGGACCCGTTTCCTGACAATACTATTGCTTACTCGGTTTTCGCATGATACACAAGCAATGCTTTGGAGACATCTATGATCAAAAACAAGCAATCTACGAATATCTTCTACTCTTACGGCCCATATTTCACAGGTATAACGTAGAATGGAGCAAACTACTGCGCAGTAGACTCATCCCTTATTCAGCAAACGGATATCTCACGTGCGCCAAAGGTGACGCACGTTGGCAAAAGTCAATCGAGCTTCCTGTATCGGTGTTCAGATTTTGTCACACACCAGGCCATCAGCACTGATGAGACTCCCAAGATATGTGAAACTGTCTACACACTCGACTACATCACTCCTTATCACTAGTTTATGTACCGATGCAGCCCAGTTTGCATTTCGAGGGGGAAAACTGCATCCCGAACATGCTTGCATTGTTGCATAGCCTGGTTTTCTCTGGTCTGCTCTTCACGAGCTTTCGTTAAGCGTCGAAGTATTATTGAGGCCAATATTTTAGATACTATATTAGTTAGACTTATTCCCCTGTCACAAGAGGACTTTTGTCCTTTCTTATAAATTGGAACAACCAGAAATTGAGACCAGTCCGATGGGATTACGTCCAGTTCCCAAATTCTACCCAAGATCTCAGTCAACCTAGCTGCTAGAACTGGACCACTACCCCTAAAAATCTCAGGCGTCAATCTATCGGGACCCACTGCTTGCACTTGCTTCAAAATACCTATCACTTTCTCAACTTCATAACGAGTCTGAGGGCTTAGATTGACTTGCCATTCAGGATGACTGGAGATCGTGGGTAACGGAAGCGTGGCTGAAGGCCATTTGAACCGATCCCTAGTGTTCTGCCCATCGATCCAATCACCTGGATTGGGAATGAATAATAAGAACATCCTTTTCCTCATTGCACTCAGAGCCAGGCGGGATGAGTTTTCGAGCATCTATCAGTTCGGTAGATGCTACTGATGCTACCAGACATCACTGCTGCTTCCACAGCTCTTCTGATATCATCCCAAGCTGCCTCAGGGTGGGCATCACTTACTACATGGCCGCCTAACTGTTTATCTTGTTGTTCCTCAAGTATGTTCTTAGCTTTGTTATCATTAGGTAGAGCCTTAAGAGATTTCCTTGAGATATTTTCCTACGTACAGTGAGACGTAAACAAATACGCGCTCGTACTAGATCACGGTCTGAGTCTAAACAAGTGCTCAATAATGACCTAGTTGTGTCCGTCGTTGTGACGACTTTGGGGGTCGCTATGTTAAGCGTTGCTTTTCCTTATGCCTAAAGTTAGTGCTTGCTAGGAACAAGCGGTTATCCGGGCATAGCTGCAGCAGATGGTCGCCACTATCTGTTCTCTAAGCCGCGACACCATATTATCCACCAAGGTGTCTTTCCTTTCCACTTAGTCTACCTACTTGAGACTCTGATTATTTCAACCTCTTTTGATATTCACCCTGTTAATTTTACCTCATAGTACTAACATTTGGTATGACAATTCCTTTCAACTTATATTATTGCAAAGCTCCACGTTCGCCGAAGTGATTGACTGCACTATAACTTAACCATTTTATACAAGTAATTCGAAAAGCTTACGCTGTGAGTTCCGATTTCACTTTAGTCAACTGACCACACATATTCGAGATTCTATACCACACGTAATGATTATAACTGATAGTCCAGTACAAACTGTTCGAAGCACGCCTACATTACAAAGCATACTAAACAAGTATTATTTGAATTTTCTCTGAAACACAGTTTCATGAATAATGACCTAGAAATCATCATTACTAGTATCATACACAAATTTGTGTTTTTGAAACCGCCTAAGCTTGAGCAAACTTCATATCTTTCATCTGCCTGTACCATTGTAGTGAATGAGAACACAGGTGGGGGCAACCGAATTGTATTTAACGAAAATTACAGAGTTACTCAGTAAAATCGGAAAACCATATCGTAAATCGTTCATTTGCACAGGATCAGTTCATCCTATGGAACTGGACTGTTCCTGTTGCCAAACATCAATCCATTGTCACTATTCATGCGTTTCATACAAATTCCATTGTTTTCTGACTCTTCCTTTCTTGATCTTCCCCCCATATTATGCTACCAGACTTTACGTTGACACTCACGCTATATACTACTTATAAGTAGTTCGCACCACCACACCATGAGTTTTATCATGTGTGAAAGAGGTGAATCGATGTTCATATTGAACAATTGAAGCATTTCATCACAATCGTCTACATGATTCCTTAAAATATAAGTGAATATTATCTATTTTGTTGTTCATAATAATCGTTATTTAACCTAAATATTTCTTTGATATTAACCTACAGTCGAATTGGAGTTCCCTCAACAGTTTTTCATGAGTTGAATTTGACAATAACTGGTTAATAACTAGTGATAAATAAATATCTTCTGTTATTGTGAACTGCTTCAGCTGTGCGAATTCTAAGCTCAGTATTTTACTTGATAACAATGTGACAAATCCCTACAAAACAAAATATTTTAACCAATTTTCTCAAGTAAAATAACGTGATGTTATTCTCCGAGCTTCCAATCTTCACAAATTAAGTTGTACCAAGTGAATGTAATCATTTTTTACGTTCGTTTAGTGGGGGTGAGTGTTGAGTTTCACTACATAATTCCCATTAGATATTTCAAATCATTCAGTCTATCACTAACTGTTGTGAATTGTTGCATTTAACACGATCAACCATACTATGCTAGACTAACAATTTTGTATAACTCCAGCCACATAAACTGAATGCACAATTAAACATTGCTCTAGTATGCAGTAATCACCAATCAAATGGACGAAAAACACAACTGAAAATATTGGAAACAACATATATACATTGAACACTGAATAATTAACAAAGCGCTACAGCAATTCATTGTTTGTTACTTTATATTATTTTATAGTTGATGATAGTCTGTGATGGAAAACAAAATAACATCATGGAATATCATCGTATTGTCATGACTTGACCAAAGAAAAATAACCAACGAAAAATACAGTGAACAAACTATCGTAACTTCTATATGACATTGACATTGTGAAGTACATTCAAGTAATCAACACATGAATTCCAGTAAATCATATTAACTGTCAACTTTGCGTAAAAAATAACAATTTCATCTACTACAAGGTTCATTCATCATTCTTTATCACAAATTATTTCTAGATTTCAATTTGTTAGCAAACTTTCCGACCGTGAATTTACTCTCTCTTTTTTGAACTATATTACCTGTGGGCTTTAACCGTCACAGCGTGACCACATTTCCAGCACCATGGATCAGTAGATAGCCATTTTATATTAGTATAAATCATCTGAGCAATGCCAATCTACAACTCTGTAGACTACTGAATCAAGGAACTTGAGCTTTCACAATGAAAGTTCAATAAATAAAACCAATGAGAAACATCATGGTATGATTCTTTTTAAAAACATACAAAATAAATATATTTGTAATTCACACATTATTTATGTATACACAATTCGTTTGATTATTGGCGCTACATCTTGAGGCCACCATGATGGTATGAATGGAATGATCTTTAAACTGACTACACTGTTATTTTCATTATGCTTATTATCACAATTATTGTATAGAGGAATATTCACCATCAATTTATACTGTTGTTCACTTGCTTCTGTTAAACGTATCAATGCTATACCAGCAATTGGACCATAATAATAATCACAGTTTAAACTATCACCATTCTTTTTACTACTAATCACATTGTTTATATTCACATTTCTAATCCATCCAACTGGTTTGGCTTTTGACTGAAGTGTTTGATGATTTTCGTCAACTTGATAAATTGGTGCATTGTACAAACTACTGTTTGAATATATTAATACAGAAAAAGTATGAAATACAATCATCTTTGTGTACTCATGATTTTTAATAAAACTACAATAAAACTCATAACTTGAATTTTTTTTATATCACAAATTGATATTATTTTAGAAAGAACTGCATGAAATTTCAGTTCAGTCAGTCAGTCAGTTGCAACGTAGAACTTCGTACGTATGTACATAAGTTCATGTTGCCATACCACATTATTAGCACAGAGACGCAAATGTCAAATCCAATCCCATGGTGATAATGATGGTAGAGGTATTAATGTTATAATAAAGAAGACTAGGGTTTAAGATATTATTCAAAAAATATAATTCAGTGAGATAAGGTTAGAAAGACAAAGGTAGATAAAGTGCTGACGAATCCAGAAGATTAGGATTTGAGAGAGCTCAAAGAGTGGATGCACCTGCGCCACTGCAAACGATTTTGAGCCATGTCGTTCAAGGTCTCTAACCATTGATGACTTTCGTCTCGCGGACCCCAACCAGGTAGTCTACATCTACCCACATGACTCAGTCCACTTGTCAGGGACTTCATGGATTTCTGCCATGTTTTGGTCTGGCCGCCCCTAGCTTTCTTCCAACCTACTCCAACACCACAAAACATAGCTCGTCGAGGCAGCCGGTGGTTAGGCATACGTAACACATGTCCCAACCACCTCAACTGATGAAGTTTCACCACTTCATCGATTGATCTGACATCCTTACCTAGTACTCGTTTCCTAACGACAGCATTGCTTACTCGGCTGTCCCACGATATACGAGCAATGCTTCTTAAACATCTATCATCGAATACTAGTAACCTACGAACATCTTCTACTCTTAACGGCCATGTTTCACAGCCATATAAGAGAACGGAACGAACTGCTGCACAGTACACCCGCCCTTTGGTTAGCGAACGGATATCACGCCTACGCCATAAGTGACGCAGGTTGGCAAAAGCCAATCGAGCTTTCTGTATCCGAGCTGAGATTCGTCAGTCACCAGACCATCGGCACTGATGAGACTCCCAAGATAAGTGAAGTGATCTACACGCTCGACTACTTCACTCCCTATCACTAGTTCAGGTGCCGAAGCAACCCAGTCTTGAAGCAACATCTTGCATTTCGAGGGGGAAAACCGCATCCCGAACATGCTCGCATTGTTGCTTATGGTAGTCAGAAGACTCTGCACTTTGTCAGCGTCTTCACCGAATAGAACTATGTCATCGGCATATTCTAGATCAGTAAGCGACTTTCCTGGTAGAAGGTCAACCCCTGAAAAATCTGACGAGCTTAATGTTAGCTCTAAGAGGATGTCTACGACAAAGTTGAACAAGAATGGAGAGAGTGGGCAGCCCTGACGGACACCACTTGATGTAGAGAATTCAGATGACAGTTCGCCATATGCTCTCACCCGACCAGTGGTGTTCGAGTAGAGTGCTTGTATAAGGTTAATGTACTTCTTTGGTACACCTTTCAATGACAGACACTGCCACAGAACCTCACGATCCACTGAGTCGAATGCCGCCTTAAGGTCCAGGAACACGACTATAGTCGGACGTCTAAATGTGTGTCTGTGTTCCAGGACCTGTCGTAGTGTGAAGATGTGGTCTATACAACCACATCCAGGTCGAAAGCCAGACTGGTTTTCTCGAGTCTGCTCTTCGCGAGCTCTAGTTAGACGTCTAAGTATAATCGAGGCTAACAATTTAGAAACTATATTAGTTAAACTTATTCCCCTGTGATTGTCACAAGAGGACTTCTGTCCTTTCTTGTAGATTGGGACAATTAGCGACTGAGACCAGTCAGATGGGATTACGTCCATTTCCCAGATTCTACCTAGGATCTCGGTCAGTTTAACCGTTAAAACTGGACCACCATCCTTAAACATCTCAAGGGTAAGCCTATCGGGACCTGCCGCTCTACCTCTCCTTAGATTTCCTATAGCTTTCTCAACTTCATGTAAACTGGGAGGACTTAAATCGATTTGCCATTCAGGATGACTGGAGATCGTGGGCAACCGAAGAGTGGCTGAAGGCCAGTTGAACTGATCCCTAAAGTGTTCTGCCCATCGGTCCAGCCTCCTAGATTGAGAATGGATAATAAGACCATCCTTTTCCGAGATAGTCTCACTTACATTCGGGTTCCTAATACCGGTTTCTTTGATAAGGCGGAAAAGTTGTCTAGTGTTGCCTATCGCCGCTGCCTCTTCCATCGCTTTTGCTTTCGCCACCCACCACTGTTCACGGTCGTTACGTAGGCTTTTTATAAGTCTGCGCCTAAGTTGAGTACGCTCTTCATCATGTTCAGAGTCAGGTGGGATGCGTTTTCGTGCATCCATCAGTTCGGTGGATGCGACTGAAATCCACGGCTTCATCCTAGCCTTATGGTTTACCTTGCTAGCAGATATCACTGCTGTTTCCACAGCCTTCTTTATATCATTCCAACCTGAATCCGGATGGGAATCACTTGCATGATCGCCCAACTGTTTTTCTAGTTGTTCCTGAAATATTTTCTTAGCTTGATTATCATCAAGTAAAGCCCTAAGAGGCTTCCTTACGGTGTCTTTCCTACGTCCAGCAAGCCTCAAACAAATACGTGCTCGCACTAGGGCATGATCTGAATCTAAACATGTGCCCCAGAACGAGCGACAGTCCTCTATCGAACCCCTCCATCGGTGGCTGATGGCGATGTGATCTAGTTGTGTCAAACGTTGAGACGACTTCGGGGGTCGCCAGGTCAAAAGGTGTTTTTCCTTATGCTTAAAATTAGTGTTTGCTAGAAATAGTTGGTTATCTGAGCACAGTTGCAACAGACGGTCGCCATTGTCTGTTCTTTGAGCCGCGAGACCGTAACATCCACCTAGGTGTCTTTCATTTTCACTTAGTCTACCTACTTGTGCATTAAAGTCACCAGCCATTATTACTATATCAGAGCGCTTAACTTTTTGGAGGAGGTCCGAAAGCTTTCTGTAAAACTCATCTTTTACATCATCTGGGCTGCAGTCAGTGGGGGCGTAGGCTGATATGACGAAGAGGCAACGGCGAGTGTCCCTATCTTTCCGAGTCCTTACTGTCCCGTTCAGTCGGACGGCGCACAAGCGACTATCTACAGGGATCCAGTCAAGGAGAGATTGTTCTGCCCTACGACTCAATGCTATACCTACACCGGCGAGGCCCCTAGAAGCAGCATCAGGGCTACCGGATACACGAAGGGTAAATCGAGCTGCTTCTTTATCTTGACATGGTGAGGTCAGATGAGTGATGCTACTCGGATCCTGTATGCGCGTTTCCGAGACGCAGCACACATCGATGGAACGAGATTCTAAAGTCCTAGCTAATGACGCCTGTTGCCCTATTTGACACAATGTCCGTACATTGAATGCTCCAACATGTAGTCTAGAGCGAGGTTTAAGGAGACCAGGAACGACGTTTCGCGAACTCGCATCGTCTGCATTAGCTGTGCACTGTAATAAATGAATGTGAGAAGAGTTAGTTGTGGAGATAAGAGAGGTATTAGGGAATGTAGGAAGGATTTGATTTTGAACAATTTTGTCTCGTGTGCTGTTACGGGTATGAGGGCGGTTATCACTTCCCGGCTGCCCACACCGTGGAAGGTTGTGAAATTTCAGTTGGCTTAAACAGACTTGTCTAGTGCTGAAGTAATAAGACTCAACATAACTAATCTGTGACTTTGAAGCAATACTTGAAATGCAATAACACGGAACTTAACCCTAAAGCACACTTTAGTATACGTCACTCTAATTCACTTCTTAAAACCACGAAAGTTGATAAAAATATATCTACTATTCAACCACACAGTAAATATGGCATAATAGTTTAGTGATAATCAAAATTTGCAAAATTCGATTAATCCTATGAAGTTTCTCAAGAAAAGAATGTCAGTCAGTCAGGTGCAACGTAGAACATCGTACGTGAGTACATCAGTTCATGTTGCCATACGACATCAGCACAGAGATATAATTGTCAATTCAAATCCAATAGTAATAGAGGTAGTAAAGGTATTAGAAGTAATCGGAGGGGTTAGAATTAGAAGATATTATTCAAGAAGTATGATTCAGTGAGATAAGTTTAGAGAGACCAAAGTACAGGTGTTGAAGAATCCAGAAGATTAGCATTTGAGAGAACACAAAGAAGAAATGCACCTGCGTCATTGCAAACGGTTTTCAGCCATGTCATTCAGGGTCTCTAACCATCAATTACTATAATCTCGCGGACCCCAACCAGGTAGTCGACAACTACCGACATGGCTAAGTCCACTCGTCAATGACTTCATGGATTTATGCCATATTTTGGTTTGGCCGCCCCTAGCTTTCACCAGGCCATCGGCACTGAAGAGTCTCCCCAGATAAGTGAAGCGGTCAACACGTTCGACTACTTCACTCCCTATCACTAGTTCAGGTGCCGATGCAACCCAACCTTGAAGCAACATTTTGCATTTCGAGAGGGAAAACCACATCCCGAACATGCTTGCATTGTTGCTTAGGGTAATCAGAAGACTCTGCACTTTGTCAGTGTCCTCACCAAGTAGGACTATGTCATTGGCATATTCTAAGTCAATAAGCAAGCTACCTTGTAGAAAGTCTACTCCTGAAAATTCAGACGAGGATAAGGTTATAACAAGGAGCATGTCTATGATAAAATTAAAAAGGAATGGAGAGAGTGGACATCCCTGACGGACACCACTCGAGGTAAAGAATTCTGATGACATTTCGCTATAAGCTCTCACGTGACCCGCAGTTTTAGAGTAGAGAGCTTGTATAAGGTTAATGTACTTCTCTGGTACACCTTTCAATGACAGACGCTGCCAAAGAACCTCACGTTCCACAGAGTCTAATGCCGCCTCAAGGTTCAGGAACACAACTATTGTAGGACGCCTAAATGGTGTGTCTGTGTTCCAGGACCCGTCTGAGTGTGAAAATGTGGTGTATACAACCACGTCCAGGTCGAAAACCGGCCTGGTTTTTCCGAGTCTGATCTTCACGAGCTCTAGTAAGGCGCCTAAGGATTATCGAGGCTAACATTTTAGAAACTATATTATTTAGATTTATTCCCATGTGATCGTCACAAGAAGACTTTTGTCCTTTCTTATAAATTGCGACAATCAGCGATTGAGTGTACTCGGATGGGATTACGTCCAGTTCCCAGATTCTACCCAAGAACTCAGTCAACCTAGCTGCTAAAACTGGACCACTACCCCTAAAAATTTCACGAGTCAGTCTATCAGGACCTGCAGCTCGCCCTCGCTTCCGATTTCCACAGTCTTTTTAATAACATTCCAACCTGCTTACGGATGGGAATCGCTTATTTGGTTGCTTAACTCTCTTTCTAGTTGCTCCTGAAATATATTCCTAGCTTTATTATCATTAGGTAAAACCCTAGGAGGATTCCTTACGGTGTCTTTCCTACGTCCAGTTAGCCTCAAACAGATACGCGCTCGTACTAGAGCATGATCTGAATCTAAACATGTGCTTCAGACCGAGCGACAGTCCACTATCGAACCCCTCCATCGGTGGCTGATGACAATGTGATCTAGTTGGGTCCAACGTTGAGACGACTTTGGGGGTCTCCAGGTCAAGAGATGCTCTACGACTCAATGCTATGCCTATGCCACCAAGACCCCTGGGAGCAGCTTCCAGATACACGGAAAGTAAACCGAGCTGCTTCTTTATTTTGACAAGCTGAAATCAGATTAATAATTTTACTAGGATCCTGTATGCGCGTTTCCGAGACGCAGCACACATTGATGGCACGAGATCCTAAAGTCCTAACTAATGATGGCTGTTGTCCTATTTGACACAATATCCGTACATTAAAAGCTCCAACATGAAGTCTAGAACGGGGTTTCAGGAGACCAAGAACGACGTTTTGTGAACTGGCATCGTTTGCATTAGCTGTGCACTGTGATGAATGAATGTGAGAAGAGTTATTAGTGGAGAGAAGAGAGGTATGTGGGAAGGATTTGATTTTGACCGATTCGGTCTCGTGTGCTGTTACGGGTATGAGGGTGGTTGTCAATTCCCGGCTGCCCACACCGTGGAAGGTTGTTTCTGGAAGGACCTGAAAAGGAAGGTAGATTAGTGTTGGTCTTAACGACCTGGGAGCGTGAGCGCAGAGCCCAGGAGACAACTGTTTGAGGCCGGTCACGCATGGCCTTTTTATCAAATGTTTTTTGAGGATTAGCTCCGTTCTTAAAGGCCCTTAGTGGGCACCCTTACCCAAGGAGACGGAAATCCGTAAGGTAGGGTGAGGTATGACATTTTTAAGGTCGACCTCTTCTAACCCTTCCTTCCTTGTGAGAAAGCGGCATCGCTTCAGATGCTGGTTGTCCGAAGGAAACATCTTACTGCTGTCACACCCCTCTGCAATCAGCAGTACGTCTTCGCCCTCAGACCCTGAGTAGCTGCTTTTAATTTGATCGTTCTCCAATCGACCTGCCTGGCATGGTAGAACCTTCAGGAACATATGTTCCAGCCAATATAGCTCGGTTGGGTCATCACGATAGGCAAGCTCGACCACCACGGGCAAGAAATGAATGAGATATTTTCACTAGATTCTACAGTCAGGGAATCAATAATCCAACCTAAAAAAAATTCATTAGTCATGTCGAAATTGTTGTCGTCACTATTTTAACCTCATATGATGATTGGAAGAAGTAAACGGACAACTGTAACTAGTACGTCGACTTCCCGATACAGTTGATATTAAAATTTGAAGTTGTTCGGATTAACTAAGATAAGATTCAAGTATATAATGAATTCAGAAATTCATTCTGATACAATTGATTAACATCTGTCAAACAAAAATAATGTACTCTTCAGTAAACATCTCTGTTTTTAGTCATATAGAGAAAACATGCATTTTAACCAACGTAGACGGCAGATCATCATCACATTCAAAGATCAAACTTTGTTAGAGAAACACAAGATGACAACGTTAGAAACATTTGACACTTGTTACCTTATTAGTAAGCACTCAAGTTTAGGTCTAACCAAATAGGTGGACTGTGCAATCGTTCTATGAAATTATCGCTATGATGGATAAACGATACATCAAAAAAACCGTAAGTGCACTTGTGAGATCAAGGAATACACATTGTGCTACATCCAGAAAAGTAAGTTTAAACTCACTTCATAACATTCGATGCTTTTAACACATCAATATTTCCTAACGACACTATTTTCACTGGTACATATCTTCGTCGAATCACTCCAGTGAAGTGTGTACGTGCTGTCAACTCTTGACCAATATAACATCCTTTGGAAAAGCTAACTCCACCAGATAAATCAGCATTCGCTTCAAACGGTAGTGTATCATTTGTAATGAATTCTTTAATACCTTCTGGTAAGCCTAATTCCCAACGTGTATTGTGATATCGATTTATATCAAGTGGTTGTGTATTGCATGATGGAAAAATGCTAGCGGCTAGTGATAAGGAAAACGAAATGAAATGAGACTCAGAAAATTTCATCAAGAATAATTAGAATACGTTTGACAATCAATAATGATAATATAAGCTGTAGAAAAATAAACGTAAGATATACATCTGGATTGAACGAGACTCCGATCTAGAGCTGTGATTAAACGTCTACTAAACACAGCAACAAAACCAGCTTTTTAATAGAAGAGCATCGACGTTTCCTAATTTACAACACCTCTGTATGTTACATTGTCTAGTGATAAGTGTTATTTACAATTTTGCACATAAAACCTCTATTTGGTTACAGATGTAGTCAACTAAACATTACGTTGCATCATGTTATAATCCTCATACAGCCCATCTTTCTTGAAATATTAAATCATCGATGACATTCGATGTGGATTGTGAATGATAAACGTTCTTAATCACTAATAATGCAACATCATCCTCAGATAACATGAACCATGTGTACAAATACAAATATGATCACAGTATAGCATAAAACATAAACATACAGTCAATAAACTCATTGCTTTCGACCATTCAACACTAAATATGTGTTGTAACGGTTTGCTTACGATATTTCCCGGCTAAATCTTATTGCTTAGTATTCTTGACACAAAACACTGGACAAGTAACACAAATCAGAACACGGTTGAACAGGAAGGATTGTATTCCAAAATAGCAAGGAATAAGAAGCTGTAGGTGATGGCGAAAGCCAAGGCAAAGAGGCTTGATAGCGAGGAAGGCTAGAAGGCTTGAAGGCTAAGAAGGCAAAGATAAATACAATGCTAGTCTATTTATAGCCTTTGCATGAGGAAACTTCTGGAAGGAAATTCACGTGATCGACTGGACTGGATTTGACCAATCAGCATGCAGCTAATAATACGAGAATTTTCTATCCTGTTCTCCAAGCTTCGATCAGGCGCTGATTGGATAGGAAATTAGCCAATCAGCGCGTAGTGACGTAATCATGCTTTAAATCCATCATGTCCCACTAACAATATGTGTAGGTCAACTTGACCAATCATTCATTTTCATATCCTAGGCAACCTTATACAAGCTCTCTATTCGACCACCACTAATCGACTTGGAGCGTATGGCGAACTGTTATCAGAATTGATTACTTCGTCAAGGCTGTCCACTTTCTCCATTCTTGTTTAACTTTGTCATTGACGTACTTTTAGATACGACACTTTCCCCATCTGACTTTAGGGAGTTGAACTTTTGTCGGGAGATTCGCTCGTCGACTTAAAATGCACCAATGGCATAGTTCTATTTGATGATGTTGATAGAATACGGTCTTCTGAACACTCTAAGCAGCGATGCAAGCATGTTCGGGATGCGATTCTTCTTCTCCGAATACAAAATGAAGATTCAGGATTGGCTTACGTCGGCACCTGTACTAGTGATAGGGACTGAAGCGGTTGAGCATGTTCACTGCTTCACTTATCTGGAGAGTTTCGTCAGTACTGATGGCCTGGTGACTAACGAAATCTCAGCACGGATACAGAAGGCTCGATTGGCGTCAAGAAGTTCGTCTACAAACCGAAGGACAAGTGTACTGCACAGTAGTTCGCTCCGTCCTACTTCATGTCTGTGAAATATGTCCAGAAGGAGTAGAAGATATTCGTCGAGGAGATAAGAGAGTTATTAAGAGGTGTAGAAAGGATTTGATTGTGACCGATTCGGTCTCGTGTGCTTTTATGGCTGTGAAACATGGCCAGTCAGAGTAGAAGATAATCGTAGGTTACTTGTTTTCGATCATAGGTGCCTCCGAAGCACTGCTCGAGTATCGTGAGACAACCGAGTAAGCAACAGTATTGGTAGGAAACGGGTCCTAGGTAAGGATGGAAGATCAATAGATGAAGTAGTTAACATGTGTTACGAATGTCCAACCACCGACTGCCTTGACGAGCTATGTTTTGTAGTGTAGGAGTAGGTAAGAAGAAAGCTACGGGCGGCCAAACCAAAACATGGCACAAATCCATGAAGTCACTGACAACTGGACTGAGCTATGTTTGCAAGTGGAGAAAACCTGGTTGGTGCACGCAAGATGATAGTAATCGATGGTTAGAGACCTAGAACGACATGGTTCAAAACCAATTTCAATAGCGCACGTGCATCCAATCTTTCGCTTCTCTCAAATCCTAATCCTCTCTCTTCTTCACCACCTTTATCTTTCTCCTTTTAAGTTTATTTCACCAGATTATACTTGCTGAATAATACCTTCGAACACTTATCGCTCCGATTACTGCTAATACTTCTACTATCTCTACTACTATGGGATTCGAATTGATAACTGCGTCTCTGTCCTATGTGGTATGGTAACTTGAAACGATGTACGTACGTACGTACGAAGTTCTACGTTGTATCTGACTGACTGAGGCAACTACTCACTGATAATCTAAAAATATTAAACCTAGTCTTTCATTGATAAAATCTATGGAACTAAAATAATTACCACTTGTATCGGATGTTGATAGTATGCGTCCAGACCAACCAGCTATACCCCTAGGATCTGAAGCGAAGAATATCAACTCTTGCTGATCATTCATATCAAATGTATTCACTGGCGACCATGCTTTATAACTATTCAATTGATTTGAGTGTTTGGATGTTGGCATAGCGATCCAAAGGCGAGCTGATAAATTGGCATCTATCTTAACCTAAACAAACATTATTTACAGTAGACATAAAACTGCATTCTTAATGGATTTTCAAAGAATTCTAAGAGTAAGTAATAAGACAAGAAAAGTTAGGGAAATCGAAATATAAAAAATAAAATAAAATATACAAAAAGTTAACTTCTGCACAGTATACTCATTCTTTGTTGATTAAACAGGTATCTAACTAATATCGAAAGTAGTATCACTTAGCACAAGCTCAGCGAGCTTAGTTTATCCATTCCCGACCGTAGCTGCTACCGTGACGTGGTGGTCGGGCTTGCCTATCGTGATGACCCAACCGAGCTATATTGGCTGGAACAAATGTTCCTGCAGGTCCTACCATGCCAGGCAGGTCGATTGGAGAACGATCAGACTAAAAGCAGCTACCCAAGGTCTGAGGGCGAAGTCGTACTGCTGACTGCAGAGGGGTGTGACAGCAGTAAGGTGTTCCCCTCGGACAACCGGCATCTGCAGCGATGCTGCCTTCTCACAAGGAAGGAAGGGTTAGAAAAGGTCGGCCCTAAAAATGTCACACCTCCCCTACCTCACGGATTTCCGTCTCCTTGGGTAAGGGTGCCCACTAAGGGCCTTTAAGAACGGAGCTAATCCTCAAAAAACATTTGATAAAAAGGCCATGCGTGACTGGCCTCAAGCAGTTGTCCCTTGGGCTCTGCGGTCACGCACCAACACTAATCTATCTTCCTTTTCAGGTTCCTCAAGAAACAACCTTCCACGGTGTGGGCAGCCGGGAAGTGACAACCGCCCTCATACCCGTACCAGCACGCGAGACCAAATTGGTCAAAATCAAATCCTTCCTACACCCCCTAGTACCTCTCTTATCTCCACGACTAACTCTTCTCACATTCATTCATCACAGTGCACAGCTAATGCAGACGATACGAGTTCGCGAAACGTCGTTCCTGGTCTCCTTAAACCTCGCTCTAGACTACATGTTGGAGCATTTAATGTACGGACATTGTGTCAAATAGGGCAACAGGCTTCCTTAGCTAGGACTTTAGAATCTCGTGCCATCGATGTATGCTGCGTCTCGGAAACGCGCATACAGGATCCGAGTCACGTCATACACTTGACCACACCATGTCAAAATAAAGAAGCAGCTCGATTTACTCTTCGTGTATCCGGTAGCCCTGATGCTGCTTCCAGGGGTCTTGCTGGCGTAGGCATAGCATTGAGCCGTAGGGCAGAACAATCTCTCCTTGACTGGATCCCAATAGATAGTCGATTGTGCGCTGTCCGACTAAACGGGACAGTAAGGACTCGGAAAGATAGGGACAATCGCCGTTGCCTCTTCGTCGTATCTGCCTATGCCCCCACTGAATGCAGTTCAGACGAGGTTAAGGATGAGTTTTACAGAAAGCTTTCGGACCTCCTCCAAAAAGCTAGGCGCTCTGATATAGTAATAATGGCTGGTGACTTTAATGCTCAAGTAGGTAGACTAAGTGAGCAGGAGAGACACCTAGGTGGATGTTATGGTCTCGCGGCTCAGAGAACAGACAATGGTGACCGTCTGTTGCAAGTATGCTCAGACAACCGCCTATTCTTAGCAAACACTAACTTTAGGCATAAGGAAAAGCATCTGTTGACCTGGCGACCTCCAAAGTCGTCTCAACGTTGGACTCAACTAGATCACATCGCCATCAGCCACCGATGGAGGAGTTCGATAGAGGACTGTCGCTCGTTCTGGGGCACATGCCTAGATTCAGATCATGCCCTAGTGCGAGCGCGTATTTGTTTGAAGCTTACTGGGCGTAGGAAAGACACCGTAAGAAAGCCTCTTAGGGTTTTACTTAATGATAATAAGGCGAAAAATATATTTCAGGAACAACTAGAAAAACAGTTAGGCGACCATTTATGCGATTCCCATCCGGAAGCAGGATGGAATGATATCAAAAAGGCTGTGGAAACAGCAGTGATATCTGCTAGTAAGGTTGACCATAAGGCTAGAATGAAACCGTGGATCTCAGTAGCATCCACCGATCTTATGGATGCCCGAAAACTCATCCCACCTGGCTCTGAACATGATGAAGAACGAAGTCAACTTAGGCGCAGACTTATGAAAAGCCTACGTAACGATCGCGAACAGTGGTGGGTGGCGAAAGCAAGAGCGATGGAAAAGGCAGCGGCGATCGGCAACAGTAGACAACTTTTCCGACTTATCAAGGAAACTGGTATTAGGAATCCTAGTGTAAGTGAGACTATCTCAGAATATGACGGGACTATTATTTATTCCCAATCCAGGAGACTGGATCGATGGGCAGAACACTTTAGGGATCAGTTCAACTGGCCTCGAGCCACTCTTCGGTTACCCACGATCTCCAGTCATCCTGAATGGCAAATCGACGTAAGTCCCCCTAGTCTTAATGAAGTTGGAAAAGCGTTAGGAAATCTGAAGCGAGGACGAGCTGCAGGTCCTGATAGACTGACCCCTGAGATATTTAAGGATGATGGTTCAGTTTTAGCAGCTAGGTTGACTGAGATCTTAGGTAGAATCTGGGAACTGGACGTGATCCCATCCGACTGGTCTCAATCACTGATTGTCCCAATCTATAAGAAAGGACAGAAGTCTTCTTGTGACAATCACAGAGGAATAAGTCTAACTAATATAGTATCTAAAATATTGGCCTCAATAATACTTCGACGCTTAACGAAAGCTCGTGAAGAGCAGACTCGAGAAAACCAGGCTGGTTTTCGACCTGGACGTGGTTGTATAGACCACATTTTCACACTACGACAGGTCCCGGAACACAGACACACATTTAGGCGTCCTACAATAGTTGTTTTCCTGGACCTTAAGGCGGCATTTGACTCAGTGGATCGTGAAGTTCTGTGGCAGTGTCTGTCATTGAAAGGTGTACCAAAGAAGTACATTAACCTTATACAAGCCCTTTACTCCAACACCACTGGTCGAGTGAGAGCTTATGGCGAACTGTCACCGGAATTCTCTACTTCAAGTGGTGTCCGTCAGGGATGTCCACTCTCTCCATTCTTGTTTAATTTTATCATAGACATGCTCCTTGTTATAACCTTATCCTCGTCTGAATTTTCAGGAGTAGACTTTCTACAAGGTAGCTTGCTTATTGACTTAGAATATGCCAATGACATAGTCCTACTTGGTGAGGACACTGACAAAGTGCAGAGTCTTCTGACTACCCTAAGCAACAATGCAAGCATGTTCGGGATGCGGTTTTCCCCCTCGAAATGCAAAATGTTGCTTCAAGATTGGGTGTCATCGGCACCTGAACTAGTGATAGGGAGTGAAGTAGTCGAACGTGTAGACCGCTTCACTTATCTTGGGAGTCTCATCAGTGCCGATGGCATGGTGACTGACGAAATCTCCGCTCGGATACAGAAGGCTCGATTGGCTTTTGCCAACCTGCGTCACTTATGGCGTAGGCGAGATATCCGTTTGCTGACTAAAGGACGAGTGTACTGCGCAGTGGTTCGCTCCGTCTTACTTTATGGCTGTGAAACATGGCCAGTGAGAGTAGAAGATACTCGTCGGTTATTGGTTTTCGATCATAGATGTCTTCGAAGCATTGCTCGTACATCGTGGGACACCCGAGTGAGCAACGCTGTTATTAGGAAACGGGTACTAGGTAAGAACGGCAGATCAATCAATGAGGTGGCGAAACTTCATCAGTTGAGGTGGTTGGGACACGTGTTGCGTATGCCTAACCAGCGACTCCCTCATCGAGCTTTGTTTTGTAGTTTAGGAATAGGTTGGAAGAAAGCTAGGGGCGGCCAGACCAAAACATGGCACAAATCCATGAAGTCATTGACGAGTGGACTTAGCCATGTCGGTAATTGTCGACTACCTGGTTGGGGTCCGCGAGATGATAATAATCGATGGCTAGAGACCTTGAATGACATGGCTCAAAATCGTTCGCAATGGCGCCGGTGCATTTATTCTTTGTGTTCTCTCAAATCCTAATCTTCTGAGTTCTTCAACACCTCTAGTTTTTACTTTCTAAACTTATCTCATTGAATCATACTTCTTGAATAATATCTTCTAATTCTAACCCCTCCGATTACTTCTAATACCTTTACTACCTCTTCTACTATTGGATTTGAATTGACAATTATATCTCTGTGCTGATGTGGTATGGCGGCATGAACTGATGTACTTACGTACGAAGTTCTACGTTGCAACTGACTGACTGACTGACTGAGTTTATCCATTCTGAGACACGCATATAAAGTAAAAGAGGTTTGTAACTCACTAACTCGGTACTTAAGCATTAGTCACACTTTAGGCTTGAACGCTGATTGTCCAAACTGAGATCTAGTCAGCCGGGTTCGAACCTGCACTCCTGACAGAAAGTCGAATGTGTTGACCACTAACCAATCAAAATATTGTTATGTATCGACGAATTAGTTAGAGTAGTAGTCACGAATCAAAATTCGATATGAGCTATGGGTAAAAGTAACACTCCCAAATTATAAAGTATAATACGAATAAAACACAAATACGTCCATAAAATAATGTGATCGAAAAATCCGAGCAAAAGCATTTTTATGCCACATCAAAGTAATAAACAGAACGTAGCACACTAACAACACAAGAAAACATACCTTTCCACGTAAATTATATCGAGTTAAATGTTTAACCAAATCGGGTACGTAATTGACATCAACTTCAACCAGATAATCAGATCGGTTAGCCGATAAACGGTTAGTGTGATAGATAAATGCATCAGTTAGCACTCTACCCTAGAATAGATGATAAAAATCTTATATCTGACAGGGGATGAAATTCAGTGAGACATACCTTCGAATTGAGGAATAGTGAGTACATGAAGGAATTAGGTCGACTTATAGATTTGATATCATTAGTTATGAGACCTTGCAGAAATTCGTCAGCTGATGTACCATGAACGCATACCAGACTTCTTTCTTTTAACTGGCTTATACTCAGCAAACGCTTAGAAAGAAAATTAAAATAACCCGCACGAAGATAGTTTCCGAAAATGATCATGCGATAGGAATAAAATCAAAAAGCCAACCTAAAATAAACACAAACACGAACTAAATTAGCATCACATACAGAAATGAAAATGCTGGCTTGTTTTCAGATGGTTAGTATGTTATCTATCCATGAAACAACAAGCAGAAAAACTTCAAATATCAGAAGAAACTTTACACTGCTCCAAGCATGAAAGTTCCAATATCAGTAATCCGGTCGATGTTTAGAAAACTGCGTTAACCGAAACATCGGTTAAATGCTGTTTGTGATTTGAACTATTTCGCACTGATTCTTTAGTGACGTAAAATCAAGACAATGCACGTTAGATAGGCCATCACCCTAAATGACCTGATATGGCAGAGAGTGAGCAGTCTCCTCTCTTTCTCGACATTTTCTACGGTGCTCCTGCGTACATAGCTAGTTAGCAAGGTCCTACGCACCACCTTCCTGTGACGGGCGTTGTTTGCGAAATTAAGAGGCCGAAGAGCGAAAGGTCCAGTGCTTTAACCCGGTTAATACAGAAGATTCACTTAGGTGAATCGTGAAACTCTGATTCCAGAACAATGGTGCACATGGTCGCCACCATATTGATGGAACGAACGGCGAACGAACCTACTGCTACTTACCAGCTACCATAAGCATATAATTATTTTGATGCTCCTTGGTAACGATGTTGAATTAATTAAAATAAAAGTAAATGATACAAAGCAATGCGATAATTATGTGGATTTGTCATACAATAGCAAGCTCAATTTCAGCTGACGCAAATTCGCTTTTTTACGAGGATATATTCGAACTTTTCAGTGCTTTTGTTGCAAAATATGCTATAATAGCACAACAGAGAATTGATTTTAAAGCTATTAACAGTACTAAGACAATGAAATGAATTCTCCCTATTAGGTCTTGCTAAATATATATGTGTAAAGTATCGTAAGATCGATAACAATCTATAGGAATCTATGTGGAACTCAAGATGTTCACGCGATGTTGAGCCGCTTAGGCATAACCAAATTGCAACATAGGTCAACAGAACTTATTACTTGGAAGAACATACATATACATGCTGGTTACTAATATGGCCAATAAATTGTGAACTTCGTCATTTTTTCAGATGCCTAACTAAAACAGGTTAATGATTTTCTACCAAGTGTTTTTTCTAAACTTTGAAAACTCTGAAAAATGAAGCTGCCAGTAGTTTGTGTGATGCTGATGTAGGTCGTTTGATGAAAATCATTAGGTTGCCTATAGAAGGAAAATCTACGAAGTTAGTAGGGAAACCAAATGTACCACTTTCGAGTGACTGCACTAATTCCGGTGGCAATTTCCTACAAACGATTGAGATCTGTTGAAATCAATCCTCAAGTTATGGTTGTAACCAACCAAAGAATCAGATTTTATCTAAGGATTTACAAAATTTAGATTTTCATCCAAAAATCCTTCCCGTACTGTCAGATTTTAACAAGATTCACAGAGAGAAAAAATCAGAATTCGAAGCTTGCACAAAGATAACCTAATTTCATGTCTCTCGTAATTAACACGCATGTTGACTCCATAAATATATAAAGATCTTGTGAAAAAGCACTTTACAAAATATCTTTTACAGCTAGTAGATTTTTGAGTACAACACAACAGTGGAGTGCATTAACCAAGATAATTGAGTGAGGTCAAGTGAAGATTCTAAGAATGATAACAATTGACCACTCCAGTTTCTACAGTAGAGTAAATGACTGATTGATTTGTTCGATAGTCTACTATATCCAAAACTTTGTCAGACAAGTGATTACACCAATTGATATTTTTGCTATTGATTCCTGATATTTTTGTCTGATAGATAAGGGCTACATCTGATTTTAATGATACAATGAAACGACTGAACATCATCGCTAAATGAATAAAAGGTTTGGTTTTATGACCGGTCAAACTAAACATTAGCTCACGCGAAGTAACGCAAAGGTAGGAGGTGTGAGCGCTGTCCAATATCCAATATCTTTTCTTCGAGCTAATGTAAAACAGTAAGTTGTCAGTCGTTTATGAGTTAGTGCCTCTCGCGAATTGAAAGAGTGCGTACGTTTCAAGGCTGTAGAGTTGCGATGTGACAAATAATTGGGAGAAACTTTTGATGCTAATAAGTAGTAGATTTCGGAACTAAGTATATAAATGGATAATTTAGTTTATCAATTGGTAGTGGGGATTTTGCGAGAAGACGGAACTGTAAGTGAGGGAGATGAAACGAGAAGAAAATAGTGAGAAGAAATTAAAAAGTGATCTGGGGAAAATGTCAGCTAGCAAGTGCTGAGATATGCGTCAGGGAGAGTTCGTCCACGAGACAGACAATAGTTTGAATGTTGTTACGTTTTTCTATCAAGTTTCTTCTTGAAGCTATACATCGACGTGGCTGTGGTCATTTCGTCTAAAGAAAAGTGTGAATTGACTTGGGTTTTTTGTTTTTAATGTGAAAAACTTTGAAGGTTATCTCAAAGGGTATGGTTGCGATATGTTGTGAACGTATACATATAGGAAAAGTCGACCGTACTGAAAATGTTTTATGTCATCTTTAGATCACCTCTACTATTCCTGTACCTTAGAAGGAATAATCTCAGGTTTCAGAGTCCTCGTAATCTTTGTTCTTCGACACTATAAACTGTTTAGTCCATCGGTTCTGCTGCGATATTTTAAGGAGAATGGGTGTGATGGCATTGTGAACTTCAAGATGTGGGCGTGCATACGTTTAGAAAATAGTTAGGAACACCTCGTCTGCGCAGTATAGTGCCGCTGAGCAAATTTAATCTGATATGTCAATATTTAATTTCAAGAATAAGAATGAACCTAAGATGGTCATGTGTGAAACTCCTGATGTTGACACTCGCCAGCGTTCCTGTACACTATTTACCTGATCTCGAAATCATCTTTGCCCAAGTCAGACTGGGATCAGCGAAGCCCGTTCTCATTCAGGATTACGTGAGGTACTGTGTTGAAAACCTAAAGAATGACCGGGTGCTTTTCGGTCACAGAATGTTGTCCGACTGTTACATTCTACGAGAAGATTGGCTCAACATGACCCACCTCTCCGAAACACGTGTTTAGCCTAGCATTGGATTTTATTCTTATCAGTTTACCCCGATTCAGCTACCTTTACATTAACTGCGATAGTACAAGAGAATCGCAAATTGTCTGCAGCACCCTTGTTCATCCTATCTCGTAATCTCGAGGACTGAAGAGGGAAAAGCTTGTTTCCATTCTGTTGAGATTAGGTGAAACTTCAATGAGAGTCTGAACAGGTCATGTGTAAATGGACTAAGGGCATCTGCACACTGTTTAAAGTCCAATATACCGTAGGCCATTAGCTAGTTTCAGGTTTGAGAACCATTCTGAAATTGAAGGTTACACGTTAAAATGACCATTTGTTGACAAACAGTCCAAGTTCCCTTGTTGTTGAATGTTAGTTCACTTAGTGAATTTGCATACATAATCAGTCAGTCAGAAACTACGAATATCTGCGACAAGCTGCCTGTTGAACCGGGCAGTGAGAGTTCTACCCTGTTTATTGTGATTTACAGACGGAGTGTGGAAATCTGCAGAAATCTGCGGAAGGGTGTTTTAAATTGCTAGCTCACTTCGCCGTCTGCAACGTAGTGAATGGGATTTTGATGTTCACATATATCTAAGAGCACTTCGGATTTATATGTGAGGTGAGAGATGTATTCTGATTGAGGGGGAACCATGAATTGAAGATTTCACAAAAATGAGATGGGACATAATGAGTCTCTCCATTATGCAGTACAGAATGAATGCTGGGTTCCGCGTCCTTTCCGAGACATGGTATAAAACGGAAAACTCAGGTGAACATTCGATAAGTATATTAGACGACGACGTTTGCGGATTACATTGGACATCTGGACTTCATTGTTGAGACAGTTGTAGGTACGCATATACCCAATCAAATGTTGTCTTCTACTGACGACAGAAAGAAAAATGAAACGTATTTAGTACATTTTACAAGACGATGAGTATGTAACGCTGCTTTTCGATCATCATGATCTTCATGATATTGCATCTTTGGTTAACAAACTTGATGTTTACACTCACGATAATGGTCTAGTTAAAATCTACTGAGACGTTTGTACTACCTGAATCAGAACTTCAAACATTCTCAGTGTTCTGCGTGTTCAAAAATGCAAGTGGTGAAAGTGAGTCAATGCAGTGAGAACTTGAAAAAGTGCAAATGAATCTAGAAATGAAGAACGATCGAAATTTCTGTCGTCTGATCAGGTCGAATATCCACTGTTTCTACGAGTTAAATCATTAAAATGACACCATTTACATTAGGAAATCACTATATTTCTAGAGTCTTCCCTGAACACAAATAAACCAATCTCATTCTAATTGGAACCATCAAAATGAGTGGAATAATATTGATTGCGATTCAAAATAATAAGTTCCTTAACATACTTACATTTCAATTCACTAATCAGTAGTGATAAGACTGAATTTTGTTGAAATGACAAAACCAAACGATTTTCACTAATACAGACTGATAATTTCATTAGAAAAATTAGGTTAATGAGGTCAATGGAAAGTGAAAAACGGAAGGAATTTGCATGGAATGACCTCGATCATAAACTGCAGCATCCTTCATTAAACCTCTCTCAAAACAATGTTTTCTGATATCAGCCAAAAATCCAGGGCTTATCTACACAAACTAATATAAGCATGTTGCATGTCAGACAACGTCAGCATCTTGCATGAAATCAAAACCTCTGTTGTTCACTTGAGAAACGTCTTCAAAAGGACGCATAACACAGCATTTATTCTGGACCTCATTATGGAGAGACTCATTATGACCAAATTCTTATTTGGTTATGTTTATGTTTACGCAGTGACACTCTATTCAAGTGTGTTGATCATTTTCAGTTTCAGTAGATGTTTAACATTTTACCGGCTTCGCGTTTTTATTTTAAATTACTTAGTTTCCAACGAAAGAGTCGAAGATTTAAGCTGAACGACATATTTTACATTTAGTTTCACTCATATTATTTCTGTGAAACGTGTATGGACATCAGTAAAGTGAAGAGTAATAATACGAAATATAACGGAAATGTTTTTCATCGATGTAGATTCTTCATCCTACTCGAACTTCTTGGCTTCCACCTCTGCTGAGATCTCATCTGTTTCCTACTGAGTGGTTCTAAACTAGAATGATATCTATTCGGGACTCGCTGACTTTCAATTGTGTTTTCATTTCATGAATATTATTCTTAATATGCAACGGATGTTGTAATGCCATTTGATGAATTGGAGTGTAGATAGTCGAGATCACGTTTGTTCATAATTCTGAATAAATGTTCCGGCTATTGCTTCCTGATTCATGCAATGTGAACCCTGTCCGGAATAATTTCCGTTTTATTTTCAGTTAGTTAATTTACTCAAAATATTACTGATCTCGTTTTCAATGTGTTTTTTATCCAGTATGATATTCTTTGTAATAAACTTACTTGCACTATGTTCTGCTTGACACGAAGCATAATATATTGTGATAACTTCGTCGTTGTGACTTCTTTTTTCAATTAATAATCACGACGTAATAATTGTTCATATAGCTCGAATTATAAGTGTACGACGCAACGTGGATTATTTACAGATTTGAATAATATTGCGAATAGTAAATCAATTATGTTTATCACAAAACATATTTAGGGTTGTCAATATATCAGTTTATGGAATAAGAAACACCGAAATATTGAAATTCAGCTGGGAAATACTAGTTCAAGCAAATGAAACAATAGTATTTTAACTTCGAAAATGTAACGTGCAGTACAACAAATGTTTAGCTGCTCAATCCCTCTCAATATGAATGCTTTATTCGTCAACACATCGGTCTCGAAGTTAAATTCTTATTTGCTTGCTTTTTAGCGCCTTCCATAGAAAAGCAGCCAATTTGAGGTTGTAAGCATGGTAGACACGTAGATGGTGTATTCTTGATGTTAAGGTAATCCATACAATAAGGATGTTAATTTTCATCAAAAATTTCTCGGTATGCCCGTGCAAGCTAGATGCGAGTTATTTAAAGTGGTTGGAGTAACTATTTCACGTCATTTTTTGAGTAAACTTGGCACTTGTTTGACACATCAGAACAGAAGTCATAGACAAGAAGAAGAAAGAAAAGTGTAATGTGGGAAGGAGTGGCAGATGTTACGAAAGAGTTTATTACCACTTTCAACATTTCCTGTCACTTGCATCTTCCAATTTTGTTCCGTGGGATTGGCTGTTCGAAAAGAAGTTGGTATATGTAGTTTCTACATGAAATTATAAAACGTTCACTGAACTTTTATTACCAAATTTAAAATATATTCACAAATACTTTTGAACCGTTTCTTTTCATACTTGAAAGACATCGAAAATGATCTCGTTCAGTGGTAATGTATCAAACAAATCTGAACAGCTTCAAAATAGGACGGAGAACGAAACACTGGCCCTGTGATATCGAAATAATAACAAGAACAGAATACAGGAGCGGCAAAAAACTACCGAGGAGAGAAATAGAATGCGACTAACACGCTTGGCGCGCGAGAGATAGTCTTTAGTACAAATAAACGAGAGGTGTACAATAAAACATTTATTGTCAGAATTAAGTACAATAATAAATGTTTATATTTCAGTAATTGTGTTTTCTTCGTAAAAGTATACCACTCCAACTGTGTGTACACTTCAAAATAACAAGTTTGGTATTTTTCTTCACTATCGATTTTTGTGAAAATATTTCTAGTCACATTATTCTACTACAGCATAGTTGTTGATTAAATCATTTCACTAATGAGCAGTAATAAGAGGTCAACAGAAAGTGAAAATATCTAAAGGCATTTAGACAACAAGAGCGGAGATCTGATCATGAAAATGAGATAATTATTTCATTATATTCAGTTAAGTTTACTTGAGATAACAATGAAGTATGATAACGTCAACGACTACCCTAAATATGGTAGGAATATCAGGTCTTACATTACACTAAAACAAGTCAAAGTGAGAAGAAATTTTAAATTTTTATGTTTGATGCATCGTATTGCTA